CTAGAAACTTGTACGGCAATTTGACAAAGTAATTTTATGTTTGTTGAATCTGATAATGAATAATATGGGCTTGTAGTTTGTATGTTATTTCTATATCATTTTTTTCAGTAATTCACTTCTATTTTTATTTTATAAAAGTTCATAATCAACTGAAAAAAAACCTGGCTACCTCTCCACAGAAGGTTCGAGAAGCTCTGGTAAAGACCATCCTTCCACCCCCATCCTTAGAGTTATCAACTGAAACCATGCTCATCTTCCTGGTCGAGTTCAAATGACACTTCCTTTGTGAGTTTCTCCCTAACTGTCCAGCTTAGAAATCGCTTGTACATTTGTCTACATAACCAATAAGCCTAGCACTTTGTTTAGAACCTGTCTATGGTACTTACAATACTGTGTCTTCTATTAGATACACACGTGTCTTCTTCCCTGGGTTCATTGTCAAAGGCAAGAACCCTTGGGTCAAGTATTCAATAAATGTCTATAAGATGAGACACACTTATTGCAGACTAAATAAAAGAAATGGGGAAATGCTTCCCATTCTTTACATATTAGCAAAGTGAGTACTCAGAATAGGGTCGAAGCTCCTTGTCTGGCACCCACACTGGGTGGAATCCTGCTCACACTTGAGACCACAGTGTCATGCCCTTGTCTATGCTGTGCCCACTATTGGGACACTGGTTCCACCCTCTCTGTCTGGTTAATACTCGTGTGCCCTTCAAGGCTCAGCTCATGTATCTTTTCCTTCACAATCTATCCTAGCTTCCCTTTCCTCTGGTCTTGCACTGCATTCTGTGCATCCCTCTACCTGGACACCTACCACACGAAACTGAGATGATCTGTCCAGGTGCCCATCTTCCTCACCCCTTCAGACTACAATCTTCTTGAGGACAGGGACAATATCTTACTAATCTTTGTGGCCTCAGGCCCATGCACAGTGTGTGTCACATGTCAGTGTTCAAAAACACCTTTTATCTGAACACAGCTCATTTTAAAGCAATAAAGGAAAAGTAAGAAACATAATTGTTGGTTCTTGGAGCTATCATGCTAGCCAAAGCTATCAGAGAAAGGCTAATTTAATTTAGCCTGAGAATGAAATTACTGATTGTAGATCAGAAAAACAATGGAGAGACGATATAATTAAAATCAGTAGCTTTTTCTAGGAATGGATATTTTATTTTGTTAAGGAATGCTGGAATTAGAGATTCAGATTCTGAATCAAGTATAAGAAGTTATTATAGACTCTATTATACTAATGAGAAAATTCTTGCTGCTGATCCTAAAAGGTCCAATAACCAAGCCTCTGATATTCCATAGAGAATCCAGTCAAGCAGCAAAGGAAAGCTACTGGTGAGAGCTTTCTGAAGTGAGAAGAATAACCTGCTGCAGCAGAGCACGTGCTGAGGCAGACAGTCACAAGGGGGGCAACATTTCCTGTTCCTCAAACCTCAGCCCAGCCCCCGGGTCAATGCGTGGGCCTGAAGCTGTGCTTTGCAAAGTCATCTCGATGATTTGCTAGTTCCTGGCCAGACTGTACTGGTCACCAAGGAAACACCCATGGTTACTGGGATTACACCGCCACCCAAACAGCTGGAAGTTATTAGTCAATCAGAGACACACAGGACTGGCAGAAGATGTCAAAAATGGGACCAAGTCCAAACCTTCTCATCTGGTTACAATCTAAAGATTCATATTCCAGATGGGGCCCTGTCTGCCCTGACCAGTAGCTGTGTTTTTAGCAAGCGCTCTCTCTCTAAATTGAGGACTGGATGGCCTACCTGAGAATAACAGCTTTGTGGGTTAAAAATAAAAACACTTGAAAATGCTGTGTTGGCATTTTGATAATGATGCAAAATGTCTTATGAGTGTACGTAAGAATTATACTTTTTACAGAACTGCGGAGCTGGAGGGAGATACCAGAGACCCAGCAGATGAAAGGGACCCGAGCTTTGGGCTCGGACACTTCATCCACCAGCCACACCTTTCTAATCTTCAATTCCCTCATTATAAAGCAGGGAACAAAGTATCCATATTTCATAAGATTGTGAGAATTGAGATAACTATATGTTTCAGCTTCCTTGTCTATCAAATGTAGAAAATAACCCTTACTGGTTATTGTAAGGATAACTAGCACAGTGAATGTAAAGTACCTGACTGGGCAGCTGGCCTGCGGTCCAGGCACTAGCGAGTACAGTGAAGGTCATGATGATGCCAACTCTGTAGAGAGCGCTACACGCTAGGTGCTGCCTGAAATGGTTTCCATGGATCTTCTGAGTCCATCGTCCTAACTGCCCTGTTCTTCACTGTTCCCATATTACAGAACCCACGCTGTTCAGCTCCAGAGCTGGCACTATTAGCCACAGGGCGATGATGATGACAATGATGGAGAGCTTGATGCTGATACGTGACGCCTGGCACATAGTTAACTGCTCAACAAATGCTTGGTATTGTTAAAACGCTGGTTTATTTCTAAAGGCTTCTAGGGATGGAAGTTCCACATCCATTTTAGGTCCCCTTTCAATAGTAAAATAACTTTTATTCCCTTTCTTATATCTGAAAACTCTTTCTTGTTATTTTTAAAGCCTATTTTTTCTTTTTCAGATTTCTAGGAAAGAAGGGAATATAAACCTTCCTGAAATACTTACTCTATTTAAGAATATTCAGGAAGTTATTTACCCCAGTCCCTTTACATGTTTTTATTGGTGCTGATTTCTTGTTTGCCATCTATTTAATCTTTTTGGTTGCTTTTCCTTGAGTCAGTCCCAGTTTTCTTTCATCTCTCTGTTTGAAAGCTGAAAGCAGAACTGGCACTGTTTTCTGACACTGGTCTTGTCCCTGTGTGTTTAGTGGAAGAGTCCTTCCTGCTGCTAACTCTCCCTCTAGTGTAGGAAGTCACAGTGGTAGGTCTGACTTTTCTCCCTGTGGCTGATCTTGTAAATGTAATCATTTATTTAAAAGGGTTGATCTAAGGATTAAATGTGATGATGCTTGTAAAAGTAACTATAGCATGGTGCCCAATAAATGCCAATCAAGACATTTACTGCCCTAGCTGGTTTGGCTCAGTGGTTAGAGCATCAGCCTTCGGACTGATGGGGCCAGGGTGTGTGTAGGAGGCAACTGATCGATGTCTCTCTCACACTGATCTCTTTCTCTCTCTCGTCCTTCCACTCTCTCTGAAAAAGCAATGGAAAAAATATCCTCAGGTGAGAAGTAAAAGAAAAAAAAAAGACTTTTACTAATACCAGATAAGGGTTCTGATTTCCTCCATTAGAAATGTATTCTTGTGTCCCTTTCTAATACTGTGAATCCTCTAATGGCCATTTGTCCACAGGGTAAAACCCAATGTTATTTGCCTGTTCTCACAGCATCCAGAGCTCTTCACGATTTGGCCCCTACGACTCCGCCAGCCTTCTCCCCTGCCGTCGCCTCCCACCACACACGTCTCCTTGGTCACCCCGAACACCCTGCCCTCGTACACACTGTGTCCTATGTCTGGAATTTCCTGACTCCTCAAGCACCTGGGAAATTCCTCAGCATCTTTCAAGAGCAAACTGAAGCACAGCATTCTCCACAAGGCTTCATCATTCACCCCGCGGCATGTGTGTGTGCTCCACGGACTCAGGGAGCTGTCTGCTTGCGTGTCTCCCATAAGTTCCTTCTCTGAGGACAGGGCTTATATTTCATTTTCCTGTCCCTAATGCCTGGTGTGCACGAAGAACTTAAGAAGTGAATGAGTGACTGAATCACATTCATTCTTCAGTCAGAACAAGCACCATCTCCCATTACCCTCATCTGCCGTGAACCACTCGCTGTGGTTTCACCCACTGTCTTGCCCTGGAGCTCAGAGCCCACCTAGCAGATGCCCTCAGTGGCCAGAGCAATAAGCACTTGTTAAGTGTGTGCCTATAGGAGAAAATCCAGCCATTCAATTGTATACATAGTTTGTGTTGTTCACACAGTTTAAACAAAATCTTATGCTATTTTATCCTAAATAACTGTATGTGGATTTTTAAAACGAGCAAGTAACTTAATTCTTATAGTACCCAGGTTTTGAAATTAGGAATTTAGTTAATCATTATAAAGATCTTTCCTCTTGGAAATGATAGAACTTTTCCTAATCTCCTGATGCAGTTTAGATCTTTTAAAAAATGAGGCTTTACCAGAGTTTTGGGTTAAGATGCTGGATTAAAACTGCATCACAGAATTTCTTACCCTCAGTACTTAGCAAATAATACCCTCCCAAAAGGAACAATTACAAACAAGCACCCAAGAGGAAAAAGGTATAACTGAAGGTAATCGACGTCAAACATTTCATGGAAAGGACACAGAGGGTTCCAGAGTAGAGTGGAGACACATGTCATGGCCTGGCTCCTAACCCTGATTTTAGAGAATACTTAGCCCTTCCTTAGTTATCTGCTAATTGGTCAGCCACCATTCCAAATGTGAAATCTCCAAATAACAAGTCTTTGCTTAGGACATACTGAAACATCTTAATCGATATTTTCAGGGGCGATAGCAATATTAAGTAGTTCTGGGGCAACTAGTCTGCAAACTTCAAAAAGGTAGGCAATACAGGGTCTAGGGGAGGGCAAGCGGGGAAGCCAGGAGGCACAGAGAAGGGTAGCCCTGGGTGATCCAAATGCTCCTGTCTCTCCAGTCAATGACAGTGAAATGATTTCTAGGAAGACAGTTCTATTTATGAATTTCTAGAAGAGGTGAGATGCTCACAGATCTTATATGTGGGGAATCAGGATGTATGATGCCTTCTGGGGTTGCTGGTCAAATTACTGCTTCCTGGACAGAGGGAGAGGTGAAGTCAAATCTCCCTCCTTGGAGAACTCAACTAAGAAAGCCATGGAGTGACCCACAGCTTTATGCAAATATTTTGGCATTAATATTTTCCTGATCGGTTTATTAGGGTCCAGATAACTTTCTCCAATAGTTTTGGGATCAATTCAGCCTTAGGCCCAGACTATTTTCTTGGCCCATAACTGGGGGCTTACCTGTAAATTATCCAGGATGATTCGGAGGGCGTGCACCTGCCTTCGGACAGCACCTGAAAACCTTTCATACGTTGCAGCATCGTACTCACTCATTTGGATCTCCTTCAGCCTGAAACCAAAGGGGGCAAAGAAGGCAACAGCTGAAAACATGTACTTGGGCCTTTAGTCCCAGGCCTCTACTGAGAGAGCTGCAGCAAACTTCTTGGTCACCCAGGTTGCCTTTGAGGAGAAAAGCAAGTGGCGATGTCTTAGCTAGGAGCTTCAGAGGAGGGGAGTGTCCAGTGGCATGCTAGTAAGTGGTTAACAAGTTGCCCTTCAACACAAAAAAGTCCTGATTTGTAGTATTTGTTCATTTCTGTGGTGTAAATGCCACGATGGGTTTCAAGCTGCTAACGATGAGTTCACAAACATTGAGTTAGAAAGAACTGTGCACAACTGGCTGTCACACCGTTGCTATATCCCAAAGATGTGCCTCAATGCTGGCAGCTGGTCAGTCCATGTGGAGGCTCCTAGTTGCTTTTTCAGACCAAGGATGTATACTTGATTGACTAAAATAGTAGTTCAGGCCCAAAGAATGCAATTTAATGGTTGCTATGGAAAACACAAGAGTTTTCTCAAACTGCTGACTATACTTTTAATAGGATAATAGTATTTTAATACCGTGGCTCCGAAATTTCTTCCTCCCAGTACAGTGCTCCTTTTTACCATTTTTCACCATTTGCTTCTGCTGTGGCCCTGCCATGCACTTGAGGTTCCCTGAACACATTACATGCCTGTGCCCGGAGCTCCCACACAGATTTCTCTCCCGCACCAGTGCCCTTTCCCCACCTCCCTGCCTACTAACTCCCACATACTCTTCAAGACTCGAATCGATGATCACCTCCTCTAGGAAGCCTGTTCTGATTTCCCAGGTCTGTCCTCTGTTATTACTTCACACTTATCTCTATCAGAGCACTTACTACCTGTCCTGCCTCTCCACCCAGCATCTATGTTCCTTTTGGTAATGGCTGGGTCTTTCTCATCTTTCTACGTACAGAGCCTAGTATGGTACCTAGCATATGATAGGTATGCTTATTTATTTCAATTCAAAATAAATTGAAATGAATGGCCAAAATATAGATAAGACTCCGAATCATTAAAAACGCAGCATCTTAAACTAATCACACATAGAAAACTCATACACTGAGTGAACCTCTCTTGGGTTTTACAGGGTCGTATTCATTATACACTAATTTGATTACATATTTCTATAAATGTAGAGGGTGCTGATACTAGGACACAACCCCGTCCTCTAAAATGCTGCATGTGTATGTGTGTGTGCACGCGTGCAAAGTTAGGGCTATGGGTCCCAGGTGTATAGCTGAAGTTCTTATATAAAGTATATTTTTATCACCTCACGCTGCAGTGACAATGGTCTCAATTCCTTCCTGTCAGGCTGAGCACTGGGAAAATCCATCCATCACAGGACAGAGCACTTAACCGGAATCACACAGTGTCAGGCCTAGACTACCACAGGGAAGATTTGCAATCCATGCCCTGTCACCCAGCTGGGTTAGTCATTGCCAACTCAGGTTTCAAGACCCAGCTCAAAAGCCACATCCTAGGGAGTCTTGCTTGACTTCTCCAGTGAAGTGATCCTGCCCTTTCACTGTCTCCTACTATAGAACTTATACATTGTATTGCTTTCAGTAGCTATGTTTGTTTCCAACTATCATAGTGTTTCCAAACTTTATTTTCTACAATAATATGCTTTAATGCATTGAGATATATTATACACAAATGCATGTGTGTATGTGTTTTTAACTGAACCAAAACTTTAATGAAAAATATGCTTACTACATGTGATACACTCTGATGCTCTCTTCTGTTCCCTTGGGAAGAGAAATATGTCTTATTTTTTCTCTGGACCTGCAGTACCTAGCACAGTGCCTGGCACACAGTAGCACTCAACAAATGCAGTTACATAACACTTTGAAAACATTGACTATCAAAAGATAAATACCTGAAAGTTAAATACTATCTGAATGGTTGTTTCCTGAGGTGACATGCCAAGGTGCCCTTCTAAATTTACTCTCTGTTTGGAAGAATAAAAATGAGTATGTGTATAGGACATGACCTCCTGACAATACTTCTTATGTTTAGTTTTGGTAATCTCTTAAAGCTCTCTATAAATTTTCATTAGATTAAGTTACGTCTCAAGTATCAAGGCTGACAGAAGCTGGGCACAATGAATATGACAGGATATGCTACCTACGCCTTCCTGCCTAAGAGGCCAATATGCTCTTTCCCAAAGAAGAAAGATCAGTACTTTTCCAAAGAAGGTGAGGAGCCAGGCAGTTGGTAAGTCACCTTGAGCAGAATGTCTTTGTAGAGAGATCAGAATTAGCTCCATTTATAGAGTTATCTTTGGCAAATCATTCTGCACCCAAACACACCACATGCTGTTTTAGTTATGAAGAAATCTGGAAATCATATTCCAGGTTGTGCCTGCTTCCAGAAAGATCACCTACAAGGTGTTCAAAAGTGGTAACAAATTCTGAAAGATGAAGACCGAAGCAGGGGATGGGGAGAGGAAATAGGTAATTTTAGCCTCCGGATCAGACAAGCTTCCCAGTGCTAATACTCTCAAGCCCACTTGCCGAAAATGTAAACTAGCCGAAAATGTGTCTTTCTGCTGCTTTCACCCTCATCAGAACTGCAGGGCACAGCTGCTTCACATCCTAGTAATCTATGTGGACTAGCTGCACTCTGTTGGCACAGCATGCTCTTAAAGGGTATATTTATTGTTATGTAAGAGTCTGGGAATTTAAGTTTTCATTTTACTTTTTCGTGTAGGTCAGCCTTAAATACTATAATTTTGGATCAATTATGAGGAAAACAAACATAAGCTGAGATCCACTGTGTAAGGCTGATTAGTTCTGCAAATGGTAGCTGGTACAGTTTCCACAGCTGGTGCCCACCTTCAATGCTTTTCTAAGTGTGTGAGGTGCCTCGCCGTCTGTTTCATTCATGCTTTGTCGGTTTAATGTTTCTGTTCTGCCTCGTGCATGTCGTACGCTTCTCTACCTCTGTTCCTCTTCCTGAGTTAATCCATTTTGATATACAGGAACCGGTATCTAGATGAAATTCAGATGCAAATGAGCGCTCCCCAAATGCTGTGTGGATGATGTCAGCGGTGTTAGGCTCTTCAAGGCGATGTGATGGCCCCTAGGCTGATGGGCAGGCCTGGCTGTCAGGCTGGTCGCAGCCAGACTGAGTTAAGTGTTAAAGGGTCACACCACTACCTGAGCAGCAGGTTCTGGGCATAGGTCTGAGGATACATTATAGAGCAAAGCACTCTGCCCTCAAGGAGCTTACGGTCAATGGAGAAGCAAACAACTACTCACACCACTAATGATCTGCCGGGAAGGAGTGGTAAGGACTGTGGGGAAAGAGATAAAAGCACAAACAGGACTGGGCTTCATCCTGCATACATGCCCACAGCTGTAAAATAGCTTTAAAATGAACTATTTAATGACCGCGGAAGAATTATTACTTTTTAAAGACATAATAATAGTATTGTGTGTGTGCATTTTTTTTTTTTTTTAAGTTCAGAGGTATACTGTTAAATATTCATGATGAAAAGATAGGACATGCTATATTAGCTTCAAAACAATCCAGGGGTGGGGACTGAGAGTAAAGCCAGATTTTTCTTCTTGAAGTTGGTCCATAGGATTCATTATACAGGTTTACAGTGGTTTGTATGGAAAAATCATACAATAATTAGTAAATAATAATACAGGAATAAACTGTGCTTCGTGTACTCACAACTGTAAACCTACTTTTGCCCCAACCTGTATGTTTCTCTCTACTTTGGTTTATGTTTGAAAACTTTCATAATGAAAAGTTAAAGAATGATCTTTAGTAGTTCTAACGTGAATACTCATCAAATGGGAGAACATACTATGTGAAAGCAGAAAGCAGCCTTCTTTTCTCTGAATTTTCCTACACCCTGTCTTTCCCGGGGTCTCCCAGTGTTTATTTCTTCCTCTCCGCGTCGGCCCTCGCCCACGCCCTCCGTCTCTCCAGCACTCCATGGTGTTCTCTTTCCCTCGGGCTTCAGGTCTCCGCAGCACTGGGTAGAGGTGGATGGTTTTCTCACTTACTCTCCCATTTTCCCTCTTTCCTCTCTTACATCCACTAAATTTAGTTGCGTTGTCATCACAGATGGTCGAGGGCCACCGCCTGCCCGTGGGGCCACGGTCCTAACAGAACCAGGTTCCTTCACCCCATTATGGGAATTGGAGCCGGGGCTGAGTGCTTGTGCCCAAGCACTACTAAAAGGCCTTTCTGCCTCCCCACGAACTACTCGTGTGCCAGAGCATCTATCCATTTGTCCACTTATTCAAAAATTGAGATGGATCTTTACTGTGAGGTCTGAGTGTGGCAACGGTAGAAACTCATTCGCTGGGGAGGGGCGAATGACGCATATCCAGTTGTTCGGTTCTTTTCCTAAATGGGTATTGTTTATATGACATGTAGAACAATATTTTAATTCTAACAAGACCTTTCATTATAGTATCCCCGCCCCCCCTTTTTTGAGAAGTTTAAACTGCTTGCATTCCTAACATAGTTATCTGTCCTCACAGCCTCTCTGAAGCAGGGAGAGGGAAGTCACCTATCTCCGGAAGAGCAAATTCAGGCAGTAAGGACAGATAATTGTTCAAGGCCACCAGGGACACCAGCAGGGCTGAGAGGAACACTTTGCCTTATCTACCTGCTGAGTACACCACAGTCCTAAGGCTTGCAGGCTTTCCTGAGGAACCTGCGTGTTTATCCCCATTGTTCTGTTCTGTTTACTTGCAGGATGTGTAAGCGCAGCATGTGACGTAACACCAGATGTTCATGTGGGAGGAATTTCATAAATCGCATACACTTGAGCACGCCTTTTTTTGAATTGTACCTAGCTCCTTTCACTGGGTGCAACAACATAAATCTGTCTCCCCAACCACTACCGAGTCCCTCAATCCTAAAGGAGACACTGCTGCTCCCCTGGGCTTTCTCGCTTTTAGCTGAAGAGCATGTGTGGGTGTCTATGAACAGCTTCATGTGGCTTCATCTCATTTTTTTAAGATGGTTCTGATCAAAGTGGCCCAGAATGGTTCTGGATCGTCTGAAAGCCACAGGCTCTCCAGCCCTGATTTCACGGCCTCACCCACTGACAGGGCCTCTCTGTTCAACCTCAGCCCCCCCCCCCAGCTGGTGCCTTTCATCTGGAGAGGATACCATGCTCATCCCGCCCGGCTGCCTCTGCTTGTTTGGTTTTCCTTCCTGGAATGTCCTGATCCTGGCTGAGCCCACTGACCTCGTGCTTCTCTGCACTGACAGAGGGCAGAGTCTCTGAACTACACGGCTTCAGCACTTAACAGGAGTGAGTCTGAGTGTGAGCGAGTGTGAGTGCGGGTGTATGTGTGTACTCGTCTCCACACAAATTCACGACTCCTGAGGGCAGGAGGGACCATCACCTACAGTCATCTCAACTCCCTGTGTGGCCTAGAACAGATGTGGATGGAGTAATTTGAACTTTAATTCCCTTAAGAGAAATACCTTTGGTTTTACTTCCTAATGTGCTCAATTCTATCTTCTACAGACACATGTAATCAATATATTTAGAAGAGCCTGAGTAGAAAGAATGGGGAGTTATGCTCACTTGGCTGCATCCATTAGGGAGGGGGAGGCTCGTGGATTTGTTTTTTGGTCCAAGTCACTGCAGGAGACAGAGAACCTCACAAATCTGGGTAGACTCAGGGTCCACTATGACATTTCACCATAGTGCCAGCACTGCTCTGGAGATAGCGGGACCACTCACCTCTGCTGAAATGCTTTCTGGCCCATCTCTCTTGCAGCCCTCTTCACCTCCTCAGGAACCGCATCTTTCTCAGCCTCAGAAACCTGGTACACTGTGTGGCCTGCATCCAGCCGGTAAGGACCTCCTTTGCCACCCAGACCTGCAGTGTCTCTTCCCCCTGGGAGGAAGTCACAGAAGCCCAGGTTGTTACTCTGATCCAGGCCACAAATCAGGTCATGATTCAAGATAGTCTCATGAAACATATTGATTGTACTTATCTAATAATTAAATATTCAAATGACATTCTTATGGAAACCAAGGGTATCCCCCTGTTCAGGATGCTTTTCCTTTTCTCCATCCAGCCAGACCTTAACCACATTTCAAGGCTCAGTGCAAATCCCAGGACATGTCATCTTCTGACTCTGCCTCCCAAGGATCAGTGCTCCTGTGCACTGTTGTTAACCTTAGAGTTCATTTTTCTTTTTTCACCAACTATATGATAGGTGGTCATATTTTATGTATCTTTGTACCTCTGCACCTACAAGAGTGCCTTGAACATCAGAAATTCTTACTATATATTTGTTAATTAAATGAACAACACTTCTCTTCCCTCATGGCACCTTAGTTTTTCTGAAAATAAGAAAGGGACAGCTAGGCGATAGATACCATTTCATCTGTTTTGCAAATGATAAAACTGATGCAAAGAGAGGTTAAGTGACCTGCTTACAACCTCACATCAGTGGCTTAGCCAAGATTAGAATCTAATCATTATACCAATTTTGAGTTCTAGCCTAGAATAATATGCACCAGATAAACACTGCCAGCTTCAGTACAGTTTCCAATATGAACCTGAGTTTACATGCTTATAAGTGAGCATTATGTAATATTGTACAAACTGTGTATGATGTAAATATAAATTAAATGCCTAGAAGACTAGGTAGGTAATATTATAAGAAGTTGTAAGAACTTGGCTAACTAGAGAGGACTTGTTTTAAATACATTCAAATTAAAATGATTTTAAAACATAACCTAAAGAACATATGATTATATGTTGACCAAGATTTGGCCTCTGTGCTACCAGCTTATTATCCCAGCTTTATAATGATTAAAACACTAGTAATCTGTTTCTTTTGTTTATTCATGTATAACTTGGTAACTTAGATGAGAATCCAATATTAAGGGGCAGCATAATATAATATACTGTAGTGTTCTAGTATTATGTTGTATTGTACAGTTAAGCCAGACTGCCTGAGTTTGAATCCTAGTTCCAATGCACTAGTGATGTGTCCTTGAGGACACTCCTTAACTTCTCTGTGTCTCAGTCTTCTCATCTGTTTAATGGTGTTACCGATATCATTTACTTCATGGGACTGTCATGAGGCTAAAATGCTTACAACAGTATTTGACACAAAGTAAGAGCTATATAAGTGACTGATCTTACTATTATCATTTAGGCAACTTCCAGTCACATAAATGAGGTCATTTCTAAGTTTCATAAAGTGAAAAATTGGAAAGCTTTTAGGCTTTGGTTAAATTATGTCACATTTTCACTTTCTCCATTGGAGCCTTCATTGGTGTAATAAGTCAAAAGCAAGAACTCAGCATGTATTGCTTTCCTTATCAAAGTCCAGGGAGGTCATTTCCTTCTGGGAAATACCATGAGAAAAGCCTATTAATTATAGTTTTAACCTTTGGTTCAAGCACATTATTTCATTCTTATTTAGATATTGGTGGTGGAAAATTCCTTCTTGGACATGTGCAATTCCTGGCTCTCATGCATGGATAGCCTATAGGCAGAGAGGACCAGTTACTGGAAAGTGACAATGAGCTACCAAGGAGGAAAAGGTGTCTGTGTGAGCTGACTCCTTTCATACAGAAGGTTCTCCCTAGGAATGTGTGGATCATGAATCAGAGCTTAACACTTCCTAGGCACTGAGATGACATCATTTTGGAGGAAAGAGCCCACAACTGTTTGGAGGCTGGCGTGAGTGATGGTCAGCCTGAGCCACGGGGTCCCTCCAGAAAGTCATCCCAGTGGAGAGGGTATGAGGAGAGAGTTCTTCATAGCCTCCACTTCCGAGAACCTTTAACTTGTACTAATTAAATAAAAACACTTGCTAGACTTGAAGGAATAGTCTTGAAACTAACAGAGAATGTGCTAAGTCAGTTCAGAGAGAGGCCCCGGAGGGGCTCTGATGATGAAAAAGGAATCAAGCGACCTGCTGGGTCAGAGATAAATTCAGTATTTTGAGAATTCTGAGGGAAAAGAATGAAAGCGAGGAAAAGAATCTAGAGCAAAGGAGCCCTGAAAATTGAAAAATAAAGACTGTGGGAAGTGAAAGCAGGGTCGTCAGTCCAGACAGATATGTGAGGTAGTAGACTCAAGCGGAGTAACAAGTAAGACCCTCCGCTTCAGCGCAGTCCCCTGCGGGAAACCCACATCTGGCCGGCTCTTTCCACAACGCGGTCCACGTGGGTTCAATCTGGCTGGTTTGACGCTAATTTCCAGATCAAAGGACATCTCTAAAAATATCCTTTCTTTAGAGTTGATGCTTGATGAATAAACAGAGTAGACAACAAGTCCACAGGCCTATTTGATGGCAGATTGTCCCAGCACAGAGACCTATTTCCTCCCGAGGCTGTCAAGGCCAAGAGGCACAGACCATCCTAAGGGAAGGCCGCGGCAGCCCTTGCCAGCACTCCTCCGGCGAGATAAGATCAGACAGCGTGCACATAGTCTGGCCGGGTTCCTGCGGCCCAGCACATGTGTCTGCTCCAGCTGCCTCGGAGGAAAGAGGAAGACGGAGCCATGGGAACAATGCTCTCGTCAGGCAGCCAAGAGGAAGGAATGGACCCCAGCCATCGGTTCAAACTGCAACCAACTCTCTTATCTCAAAATCCTGCATCCTTGCCCTCGTACTCACTTCTGAGATGTGGAAGACAGGGTGAGGGGAGGCAGGAAGAGATTAACCGAAGAATTTATATGCACATATGCATAACCTATGGACACAGACAATAGTGTGGTGGTGAAGGCGTGGGGGGCGTGTGGAGGGTGGTGGTGGTGGTGCAGTGTGTGTGTAAATGGCGGAAAAGGTGGGGCATCTGTACTACTTTCAATAATAAAGACAAATAAATAAAGTCAGTTATCAAGAAAGAATCTACTATAGATTTCTGGCATGATCCTAAGGACAGGGAATTTGAAAGAAGGGATTAACACTTTTAATGAGTACATTCTTCCTGCCAAGCATCTCTGCTCAGTGCTTTACAAGCATAATCTCATTTAATCCTCAACATTACCCTGTGAAGCAGTTAATATTTTCCCCCTTTTACTGATGAAGTAGCTCTGGGAGTGTCCAAATGGTCTCAGGTCATGGGGTAGCAGAGTCTGGGGGACTCCAGATGGCAGGGTTTTTCCAAGATGTCGTGTTGGGACACAGGGCAAGGACACAATCCCACTGACTAATAGGGGAGGCAGAAGAGGCCCGCTGGTCCCAGAGCTTCCTGAGGGGGGCTTACGAAGTTTCAGGAAACCCAATCCAGGGGAATGCCAGTGCTACCAACCTGTTCCGCCAGCCCAAGTATTGCCGCCCACGTGGGGCATGTTGTCTGGGTCCTCCTTCCCGTGTTTGGGAGAACTCACGTCTTCACCACTCTCTCTCTCGATTGTTATCTAAAAATGAAGAATTGAAATATTATCACTATCCCATGACCAACAACAGAAACTACAGGACAGAAAGAATTCTTTCCCCCTAAGTCCTTAAGGTGTCCCATAACCTCAGGCCATAGGACACAAAAGATACTGTTAGTATATGGCAAAATGTCATCTGATTTAACATCCATTGTGTTGGGGACAAATTTAACTTTTTTAAAAAAAAGAAAAGGAGCTTTACAAGGTTTAGAACATGCCTCAAGCATTTACACAAGGAACAAGACCTACCAGAAGCAGGGAAGAGGGATCTCGCTAGATGGCTACTCTCAGAGATTTAAAAGGACCACTGCCCAGCTATTCCAGGTGAGTCACAGCGGATACACACTGACCTGTTTAATTTTCAAAGAAATCTCACTCTCTGAGGAATGTCATTTTATATAAAATATGTAGGAAAAAAACAGAAAATGTATCTGCAGGGTTTCAGTGATATATGTTGTATACACAGACACTAAAAACAACTTATTCTCTGGACCCACTCTAGATTTTTTATGGTATTTTGTAGATTTCCTAATTCATCTCTATTTTAAAATTGGATTTACTATTCCTGCAATTCAAACAGACTAAGCAGCACTTCAGCCTCCGTGCGAGAGTCCATAATTTCATTCAGCACCAGATTCACCAAAAAGACTGATAACCACACAGGAATTCCAACCCTAGTGGGCAGTTCAGTAGATACTACTCCACAATAAAAAGAACTTGAAGCAGTTACATTTCATGTACCCTAATAGCCTGTTCCCAAAAGTAATGATTTTCAGGGCAGACCAGATTAGATGTTCATTTATTTGTTCAAATAAGACTCACAGAAAAATGTACTAGCAGGACATCATGGAAAGTACTATGGGGCATACAAAATCCATGGAGGATTGGTCACTGTCCTCAACTGCTTACCTGTTTAATTTTCACAGTGGGGCAGGGGAGGTTACAAAAGGACCTGAAGTATGATGCCAGAGCAGTATTTATAGGCTGACCCATTCACTGTTAGGAATGGACTTTTCATGCTGGATATTAAGATTAATGGAGGCATGTAGATAATTTAAGGTCTTTGCAAATAAAATGGCTATCAAGAATGAATTCAATGTAACTTCCATTGTCTCATATCCAGACTAGTTCATTTCAAATGTTATGACACTGTAAAGAGACTTTAATGAACTGGACCTTTCTGCCAATAGCTTTGGCAGCATTAACAGAATTTTTGACATAACTTCAGCATATTTTAAGAAAATTTACCAGCTGGGACATGACAATTGATATGAATTCCACACATGTAATCATGCTCTAAAAATGGGTAAACATAACTTTTTCTTCTTTTAAAAAAATAAACTATGCAGAATAGCTAGTAACATTTAGAGAACAAATAAACATTTAAAATACTTTCCCCAAAACTTGCCACCACTTTCCAACTTTTCCAGAGGTAATGTAAGAGATAAACAGTAAATTAAAATATGTACACTGACTACAAGAATTCTAGACCAGCACTAACCAATAAAATTTTCTGTGTTAATGGCAGTGTTTGCACTTGCGGGATCTAATATGGTAGCTATTAAGTATTTGAGGACCTAAATTTTAAATTCTATTTAATTAAGTAAAATTATATTTAAATAGCCACAAATGGCCAGTGGCTATCTCATTGGAAAGCAAAGCACAAGGACAAGCTTGCCTCAGTCCTAGAGATACTATTTAGAGATTTCTGTAGCATCTTATAGATGCTCTCCATGGGAAATGAGAAAAACAAGAAATAATTCAATAGTGGGATAGTTTTATTGTTTCTAATTCAAGAAATTTATCCCCTCTTCCCACTGCCAGAGTAGCAGCACCCCTTGTTTCCTGCCAGAAGATCCACTAGCCCCACTATGAGAGAACCACTACCTCTACCCTCTCAACTACTGGAGGCCCCGCCCTGCCGAGCTGGCACTCTGAAACCTGGTTCCACAGTGCAGAAGAATTTCCAGGAGGTCAGGGCAGACTATGGGAAAAACTGAGTTGGGCAGGGGCCACGTTTCCCTCATGTCCGACTGCAGCCACCATCCCTGTGTAGAGCCCTACCTTCACACGACCACATCTTGGTCTGTTTGCGACTGATGAATTCTGCTGGCTCTAATGAAACTTGACGACTCCCTGAGACCTCGTCCCACCACAATAGTCCAAGGGCATCTGGTGGATGGCAACTGACCTTAATGAGCCCTGAAACTGTTGAGGAATAGCCTCAGATTTAGTGCTGGCTCTGGGTTTGAATCTGTATCAGTCTGGTGAACACCATTCACCCCTACCTGATGACTCACCGAGAACCTACCTCACACAACTTGTATACCACAGAAACTCTTTCAGTGACTGAGCCTAACAGGCAGCTAGCAGGCAGAGGTAGATCTCAGGTAGCCTTGGGTCTTTTGCTCACCTTCTTCTGCTCAGTGCTGGTGAAAATCAGCCTTGGTGCACAGCTTGGTCGTCGTCCCCCCCCCCGCACACACACACCCAGGCCCAAGATGCAGCTACAAACTACTGATTGCTTGGTAGTTCCACACAGGTAGCTCAGGGTTGGTCACAGGCAGCATCTTTCATTGACCTCCACTGGAGGCCCTCTTAGGTGGCTCCAGAAGAAACACTCAGTGGTGGGATTTGGACCACATCAGAGCACAATTCAAGTAGCTCCACAAGCAGCACACCCAAAGAAAGATCTTGGCAGGCACCAGACCCTGTTGAGGCAAAATCCATTTTGTGGGGTGAGCTGCCTCATAGCAGGTCACACATTGTGGTGGGGGATGATCCTAGTAGCCAGCTGGAGAAGTGACCCAACCACAAATGGACCAAGAGCAATCAAGACTCAAGTACAACAGGAGGTCTCACATAACCCACACAAGGGACATTCCTGGAGCACCTAGCTCAAGTGAACAGGGACACTGAGCCCCACAAGACACCTACTACATCAGGCCACCATACCAAGACTGGGAGACATATCAGATCTGCCTAATACACAGAAACAACTACAAAGAGACAGCCAAAATGGGGAGACAAAGAAACATGCCCCAAATGAAAATACAGGAGAAATCCCCAGAAAAAGAACTAAATAAAATGAAGGGAAGCAATCTACTAGAGACAGAGTTTAAAACAATGGTTATAAGGATGCTCAAGTAACTTAGTGAAAGTTGAACAAAGAGATAACAAACATAAAATAGGACACAGAAGCCATTAAAAAAACAAACAAAAAAAGAAACCAGAAATGAGAATATAATATCTGAAATGAAGAATACATTAGAAGGAATAGAAGCAATAAACATCAGGTTAGATGAAGCAGAGGGTTGAATCAGTGATTTGGAAGACAGGGAGCAAAAAACACCCAATCACAGAAAAAAAGAAAAGAAAAAAAAAAAGGGTTTCAAAACCGAGGATAGTCTAAGGGACCTCTGGGACATCAAGCATAACAATATCCACATCATATGTTTCCCAGAAGGAGAAGTGAGAGAGCAAGGGATCAAGAATCTACTTGAAGAAATAATGGTTGGACTGGCTGGTATGGCTCAGAGGTTGAGCACTGACCAATAAACCTGGAGGTCACGGTTTGATTCCCAATCAAGACACATGCCTGTGTTGCGGGATTGATCCCCAGTAGGGGGCAGGCAGAAGGCAGTCAGTCGATGATTCTCATCATTGATGTTTCTCTCTCTCTCTCCCTCTTCCTTCCTCTCTCTGAAATCAATAATAATAATAATAAAAAAAGAAAGAATGGCTGTAAACATCCTAAACCTATGAAAGAAAAAGACACACATGCCCAGGAAGCGCAGAGATGAACCCAAAGAGGCCCACATCAAGACACATCATAATTAAAATGCCAACGTTTAAAGACAGAGAGAATCTTAAAAGCAGCAAGAGAGCCCGGCCGGGCGAGGCTCAGCGGTTGAGCATCGACCCAGGATCCAGGCAATCAGGGTTTGATTCCCAGTCAGGGCACATGCCCGGGTTGCGGGCTCGATCCCCAGTCGGGGGCGTGCAGGAGGCAGCCGATCAGTCACTCTCATCATTGATGTTTCTATCTCTCTATCCCTCTCCTTTCCTCTCTATGAAATCAATAAAGATATATTTAAATGTGAGACTCAAAACCGTAAAAATCCTAGAAGAAAACATAGGCAGTAAAATCTCTAAGATTTCTCTTAGTAATATTTTTTCTGATATTATCTCTTCAGGCAAGGGAAACAAAAGAAAAAATAAATAAGTGGGACTACATCAAACTAAACACTTTTGCACAGCAAAGGAAACCATCAACGAAACAAAAAGACAACCTACTGAATGGAAGAAAGCATTTGCCAATGATACATCTGGTAAGATGTTAACACCCAAAATTTATGAAAACTCCATAACTACACAACACCAAAATGAAATAATCCCATAAAAGAATGGGCAGAGAACCTGAACAGACACCTCTCCAAGAGGACATACAGATGGCCAACACACATATGAACAGATGCTCAACATCACTAATCATCAGCAAAATGAAAATTAAAACCATAATGAGGTATCACCTCAAGCCTATAAGAATGGCTCCATCAACAGATCAACAAACAACTTGTGCTGGCGAGGATGTGGAGAAGGGGAACCCTCGTGCACTGCTGGTTGAAATGCAGACTGGTACAGTCACTGTGGAAAGCAGTATGGAGTTTCCTCAAAAAATTAAACATAGAGCTGCCTTATGATCCAGTGATCCCACTTCTGGGCATTTATCTGAAGAAACCTAAAACACTAATTCGAAAGAATATATGCATCCGTGTTCCTTGCAGCAAGATATGGAAGCAACCCAAGTACCCGTCAACAGACGAGTGGATAAAAAAGCTGTGGTACATACATACAGTGGAATATTACATCAGCCATAAAAAAGACTGAAATCTTATCATTTGTGATAGCATGGATGGACCTAGAGTGTATTGTGCTCAGTGAAATAAGTCACTCAGAGAAAGACAAATACCATATGATTT